GCACGTGTCCGAGATTGTAAAGAAAGCATCTAAACGCCTGTATTTTCTTATAGGCAATAAAAACGCCATTATGTCGAGAAGACTGAACTGCTTAGGTTTTACACAAGCTGTGTTAGGTCTGTTTGCAATTACGCGATTCCTGTGTTTCACGCTTCGTTACCTCAGTACCCAATCGACGATTTGGCTCTCTCCATCATATGCCCCACCTAGCCTTATCCTACGACAACGCTCTAGGTTCGTTAGACCTAGAATTATCACTAGTGGTTCATCATCAGCGCCTTTGTCAGTCCCTTTTCGATGAATATCTTAGAGGACAGAGATCACCGTCTCAGTCACTTACTGCATACTCGACTCGCATACCCGTCTCGCATAGTTACACCCTCAGGTATGCCAGCAATTATCTTATTAATTCCCAGTGCCCTCGGGTAAACTCATTAGAATAGCCATCAGCTTTTTTAAATAAAATTTTGTTCATTGTTTATGCACATGTATTCTTTAGAGTTCTAAATTCTCTAAAATCGATTGTAATGTATGCGTTTTCTATAATTTAGTAGTTTTTATATTTTATATGTTTATACGTAATTTAACCTCTGGCTGCGATGACTATGCCGATAAAGTATCCATCTATCTCCATCTGTCTAGTGAATAAATATTCAAGCTTTAGTCTTCTTAACAAACTTTAATAGCACTACCCAAGGGACGTTTAGCCAACCCTCTTGTATAGTAGAAGGGGGTGTGAATTTCCCCGTACGTAGAAGAACAGGAAAGCCAAACTTTATACATACTTTGCTTTGCTTAGAAGGGAAATTCACTTCAATATAGAAAAAAACTTCGTTCATTCCCAGCAGTGGGTTTGCTTGAGTGTCCATTTGCTGTGTGAGTTGGGCTGGTTGTTTTGTATATACGCGTATCTATAATCTAGTTAGGAAACGACAGGGTCTTGAAAGGCATTGCTTACTTTTCAGTTTCATGTGGGTCAGTAGTGAACAATACCCTGAAAAGTCCTACATACTCAGATGGCTTCTATGCTGGCAACATGAACTGCGTCTACAATCTTTCGATTCCAGATAGTAAGGAGATGAGACTCAAGTTTCAAAGTTTTGAGCTGGCGTCAGGTTCAGAATGCAGGTAGGAATAAATACGTTTAGCTTTTCTTATCTGAAGTTTAATTTTGAGTTATGCTGGTTAGAGAGACGTTTTCCAATAGCTTCTTGTAAATTCAGTTGTATCGACTCTCACTTTCATCTTTACGTTTAGGTCAGCTACTGACCCTTGAGCCCTGATTGGTGCAGGCGGATATTTTAACAATCACGAGAATCAGTCTGATAAACAGTTATTTTTGCATCTAGCGAGGAGAATGTGTGGGGGTATATTTGTTACTGTACAGCAACTTGTATTGAAAGAGGTTTTCTTGTAGGATCGATTATTTAAACATAACGAATGGTATCACAGAAGTTGGATACTGCGCTGACCAGCTCACTGGAAGAGACCTCCTTGTATCAGGAAAGTACGTTACATTAACGTTCCACACGGACTGGCTGCTCGAGAACAAGAGAGGATTTGAAATACTATTCTTCGCTGAAGAAATTTCTACTAGTAAGTAGGAAAAGGTAACAACTTTACAGTTAAGGCTATTTATACGGGGAGAAATAAGACGCGACCGAAATAAGCTGCGAACTTTACCGTATAAACGGCACATTTAGTGTGAAATAAGATAAGATGCGTCTTATCTAAGGATAGCCCTTAACACCCGTTCTTAGATAGTTGTGTCTTATGTTAGACGTAATCTGCCGTTTATACGGTGATGTTCGCATCTTATTGAGGACGATGAGGACACGTCTTATGTAAGCCGGACATGCCTTTTTTTTCCTCGTATAAATAGCCCTAATGGTTCCACCTCTACTAGAAATAAAAAGTAAAAAGCCAAATGGTGAAAAAACGATGAAAGAAAAAAAAAAAGGGAAGTTGGCACCCTGGGATCTGAACCTGCACCCCAACTTCCCCCAGGGAAAAAAGTGCGGCCTCTGACCACCCCGCAATGCGACCCCTACACCAACTGCATATTAAAAAAATAATGTTGAAGGATTTTTCTCTGCCATTCACACTTTTCAAACCTTATTTTATTTGGTCAGGTGAAGGACTGACTTTAGTAAACCGGGCAATGCCTTTTTTTCCACGTCAAAAAAAGCCCAAAGGGTTCCACCACAGAAAGAAATAAAAAGAAAAAAGCAAAGGGGGAAAAAACGAAAAAAAAAAAAAAAAAAAAGGAAAGTGGGAACCCGGGAACCGGACCCTCCCCCCCAACTTCTCCTGGGAAAAAAGTGCGGCCTCTGACCACTCCGCAATGCGACCACTACACCAACTGCATATTAAAATAATAATGTTGAAGTATCTTTCTCTGCCATTCACACTGTTCGAACCTTATGGAGCTGTATTTATCATGAATTCAAAGATACATTTGAGGAAAAATATCTCAAACGAATATTTCCAAACCATTTTGCATTAATTCCGTGTTTATTCACTCTCGGGCTGATATAGGCCGCTCTATTAACGGGCTGGTCTTCTTCTTCGCTGGTCTCGCTAAAGTTCAGGTCACCGTTCTTACGGTGTTAAACCGTCGACGGCAAGGATTTCCAGCCACTTGTCCAAGTGGGTACTGTTGTGTCTGCAGCCCGCAGTTATTTGCCTCAGAAATACTTCGCTATTCGCCAACGTTCAATAAACAGAGGATGAATAAAATGAGCCCGGCAAGTCGCTGGAAGTGTTACCTGGAAACCCAAAGTGCACGATGACGTCATGTTGAATGGCCTGTCTTAAGGATTTGTTGATGGCTTGTTGCTAGGCAACTGTGGATACCAAACCGATAGAAAGATTTGTGGCTGTGTCCATGAGAGGACCAGGCAGGCGTGACACAAGCTATCTCTCCGATTTGGATGAAGCTTAGTCAGATTAAAGGACCCACCCAATAACTCTCAAAGACAAAGTGGGTCTGATTTCCAACTATTCCCTTGGGAGTTAGACCACCCCCCTGGATTTTTGCCCTTAATCATCAAAATTTCACGAAAATAAGCATCAAAATTGGACACTGCTCTTGATTACAAGATACAATGAATTTTAATCCCCTTAGACACAAATAAAGGTCCACTCTATACCAATTGACACTTGCAGTTTCAAGTCATTTGGAGTGACAGGTGCCAATCAAGGGATGTCAGTGCTCACCCATGTCACAAAAGACAAGTTTAGATCCAAATATCTGAAAAATCCAACGTCCTTTTTCAAATCTGTTTTTACAGAGACTTAAACTTATCCTTAGACGTAGCGGTCCGAATACCGGGACACGAAGTGGTTTCCTCTAACACAGAGGGAACAAATCTAAGAAAACAAAATAATATCTCATAAGTTTATTCACGCAATTTCCCAAACAGTGAAATAAGTAGTGTCTTTTCACACTATTTCTTACATATGGGTCATACATGAAAGCAATATTCATTTCTGTATCCACTAAAATGATGGTAATATTAAGTTTAATAGCATCCAGATTCTAATAAGAACCCTCGTGCTGGAACGAGCGCCCGAGTATTTCTCATCATTTTAAATCTGCCGTGCGTTCAAAATAAACGATCCTTGCTAATCTTTATCTATTCTTAGCATGAAATTTGAATTACGATTAAATGGTCATCAACTTAACCTCGACAATTAGTACAAAAATACACTCACACTACGTTCCAGCGGCCTCGAATGAATGCTTCCTGATACTTTTCTCTCATATACTTCATTTTGCTCGTGCCAGTAAATTTCGGAGTTTAGCAAGTGTATTTAATTCTATTTAAGCCGAAGAAACGATAAATTATTGACTTAACGCAGCAACAAGTTGAAATACACAGGTCAAACATGGCAACCAGTTACAGAAAATGAGCCTGGAGAGGTTGTTATTTCTAGTCAGTGGTTAAAGCTATCTGTTACTCCATGTAATCGAGCGCGAAACAACGTCTCGTTCAAAATCGTGCAACGATGGTAAATACTGTATTTATACCCTGATTACACCCGAGCATGTTTGCGTGATATACATTTCCGTTTATGTTTGCATAATGGCCCAATAGACAGCTGAAAACAGGAGCCATTGTGGGCTCATGTTGAAATTCAATCGAGACATTTTCAAAAGAGGCAGTAGGAAATCTTGGGAAATCTTAAAAAATCTTACCCAGTCCCCCTAATTTTGAAAATGGCTAATTGAAGCATGTACCTTACCTCACCTAAAGTACTTTTATTCATGACCTAAAGTTCCAACTGTCATCTTATTTCGAGTCTTGTGCACATTTCTTCTGCCTCTCCAACAAAGTCTTCCTCTTCATCTTCATCAGCTTGTTTTATTTCTATACAGAACAGACAACCTGCTCATAGTTAATTGAGTGGAATGGTTATGAAACCCGTCAGACTCCTTTGTTATATGTTTTTGTGAGCCTGAAAGTGCACAACGTTCAAAAGAATTCCTATTATTTTGATTGTATTGACCAATAAAAACGTTGCATTAATTTATTCCGTAACAATTTGCCAACAGAAAACAAAGGATTGTGCACTTTCAGGGTGCTTCCAACATAAACTGCAACACTGTTGTTTTTATAATTGATGTTTGCCGCTTTTCATAACCAGTCTCCTCTAATAACTATGATCTGCTGAAATATCGGGCTATTCGCTCTGTAGTCAGCCACTCCTCTTTGCTAAATATTTTCCTGCCACTGTCATCACGAACAGCTCTCATTTTGCTACACACATCAAATGCACTTGCCTTCCTTCCCGTCTCCTCACCTTCCATGAATATCTGTTTCAGATGTGTCTTTACTTTTTCAGTAAAGCGTGTTGCTTTTCGCGATGTTTTTAATGCCCATCCGCTGGAGATCTGGCAAGTGGGATCATACCTAGATGTTTACGGCTTGATAACTGTTTCTCTGTGTATGTAGCTCCCCGAGACCTCTTTGCACATCTCGGCCCATTTCTTCTCTCTAATTTGACAAGATGTTTACCCGCAGCCAGGTGTTTCTGCAGATTTGTAAAAGACTGGTATGTCTTGGTACATCCTTTCTCAGGACAGGAGAAGAAGCTCGTGTAGCTTCATCAGCTGGGGAATCTTCAACGGATTGTGGAGAGCAAGGTTGAGGACGCACGCACTCGACCCTAGTTGACACAGATCTAAAGACATCAACATCTTCTTGTGGTATGCTAAAGGGCTGCACGACTTCGAGTCCGGTAGGCCCCTGAAGCAAAACGAATCGCTTCACCTGTGTTGCTGTGAAAAGCTTTCCAGGGCCCACATTGTAGGCCCTCCGTACTCGCAAACCTGCTGACTCAAAGCTGAAATTATTGAGAGCCTGAATTCCGGTCATTGTGTGCTTCTTCATTGTTTGGTTAGACTCTTGAATCTTCACAACTGCTGCATGGCACCCTTTAACTCCACCATAGGAATCAATTGCAGTTTTCATGTCTCTAGCACTTGTGATGTCGTGACCTTCAAAAAATAATTTTATTAGTGGAATAAAATGTTTTTTTTTAACAACAAATGCATCCAAAAACTAGAAATACGGATAAAGACTATCCTGGCTAGTATAAAAAGAGTCTAGGTCTAGGTTCTATGAAACTATAAAATGCTCGCAAGCGCGACTTTTAATTAAGAACATCCTTAAAATTAATCAAATTATTCAAATCAGTTAGTTCATTCCATAGCCGAGTGGCTCTGTACACAAATGACCGCTGACCGGTAGCTGTTCGGAATAGCGGAACATCCAACTTGTTTCTGTGTATAGTATTGAGAGAGTGAACAGCAGATGTGCCAGGGCTATTCCGTGCAAGCATTTAAATCTCATTAGAGCATCTTTCACCTCAAGGCAACTATTGGAGTTGCTTTAATCTGGGGGTGGTGTGGTCAAATTTTCTTGCCCCGGTGGCAACCCTAGCCGCAAAACTTTGCACTTTCTGAAGTCGAGCAATGTTTTTCTTTGTTGTACTGGCCCAAAGTGACAAACAATAAAAAATCTTACCTTCATTTATCTAACGTCGCATAGTGAGCCTTCAATGCAGCAGTTCTTCTATCGCAAACATCTTTTCCAGCCTGTGGATCACTAAAGTGATATCTCTTTATCATAATGCCTGCACGCTCTCCAATGCTAGGAAGTGACAAGATTAGATAAGCACAATGATAGCATCCTGCATTGTCGCTCCGTAAAAATGCAAACCAATTTTGAGTACATTCTTCGAACAAATGGATGTAGGTTCGGGCCCAGGAAAAAAAGTCAAAGACGGACTTAGCAATGAGTTGAACTACTCCAAATACATTCAGGCATCTGGTGATGCACAGGGATTACATCATGCGACGCCGTCATTACCCAAAGAACATTTTTATGGGAGCATATTTCTAACTTGATAAAACACCCCCCCTCCATTAAAATTTAACCACATAGTTTCAATCAAACCAGACGGTTCTACACTAGCCATTTTCAGGTGACTACCTCTATCTCCTCATCTTCACTCTTTGTCACTGCAACTGTCACATACCACGAGTTTCCCTTTTTGCCAAACCAGTTCTGCTGTGTTTCTCTGAAACTGGCTGGCAAAAAATTCATGGCCCAATCCATAATCAGCAAGACCTGGCTTGTCAACAAATTGTCAGTTATGTCACTCTTCGCACCATCCTTATGGGCTGCCCGAAGGATGTGGGCTTTCCATTCGTCAATTTTGGGAAAGCGGTGTCAACCTTGTATCTTATTTCTTCCTCTTGGTCGTTACCGCTCGTTATTTTTCAGTGCTAAGTAAATGAATATGACAATATCTACGGTTTAAATATTCTATAGAATATATAGACAACCGCTTCGAGTGTGAGAGTCATACGACTCGTCTTATTACGTATACGAAACAAGACCTTCTGAGACTCCGCAATTTTCCAGCAAGCCGATTGAAACCTATGCCTGCTGTTGTTCAGAAACTGAAGATGTTTAATCTTTATCGGTATAGAGGCTGTCGGGGAGGCAGCTGGCGACGTGAACTGGGAGTGGACGTGGGTAAGGTATCTTCTGGTGAAAGCCGTGATGAGAAATCTATTCCGGTTATTTTTAGTATTCGAGGAAATGTGAGCTCATCTATCAGGGCCAGGGATATGAAGAACCTTGTCCCAATTCCTAAACGGAATCAGAACCCCGTCTCGCGAACTGTTTCTGAATTTGCAGTACCAAAGTTTTTATTTACAAATATATGCAGTCTGGCCAAAACCAAGAACAGAGTTCGAGCGGCAGTGGCGCTGGAAGCCGATTTGAATAATAAGGACATTGATGTCTGTATTGTATCAGAGACGCATTTAAAACCAGAAATGCCGGATGCTATCGTCAACATTCCTGGCTATTCTATTTTCAGACGGGATAGAAACTGGTCGGGACTGAATAAAAGAAGTAAGGGAGGGATTGCTATCTACGCGAGGAGTAACTTAAACATCATCGATGTTTACAGATC